CATCTGCTGAGGCTAGTGCTGTTCTGACATCCGGTAACCATTCAGCATCACTGTTGTGTTCAACCGGCTGCTCCCATATGTTCTTCCAGAACTTCAGACAAGAATCCTTGTCAGCCTCAGGGTGGGAGATATCCTGTTCTTCAGGGTTTGTTTGAAGGTTTCTGTAGAACTGCCTCTGGTTGTTTCCAAACAACTTGTTCTGGTGGTATCGTTCGCATCTTTTATTAAATCTCTTTATCTTAGCTGCTTTTGCGCGAAGACGTTGCTTGAGCTCCTCAATGATGCATGGTATACCCTTTTTCTTCAACAGAGGGTGACGTCTGTTGAGCCCTTCTAGTATTTTTTGTTTAAGGGTAGTACCTTTCTTCTTCTCCTCAAGGTAGGAGATGTCTTTCCTAACCTGGGTAATCTTATCTTCGATTCTTCTTTTCCATAGTGGAGTTTTCCGTTTCCCTGTATTCTTATTTGCAGGTTTTTCACCAAGTCTTTCGCTGACTAAATGTGCCCCTGCAAGCAATAGGGTGTTGGTTTCAGTGATTGAAGAAGTTGGAATCTCTGCTATACATGAGTTGATGAGAGATGTTTCCTCCATAAGCTTCTTTCTGTTCACATGTCTCAGGGGCTTGGTTTCTATCACTGAAGGGTCTTCTAGGAGCCTTTTTAGCCGTTCAATGATTGCCTCCTTGTCAAAATCAGGTACCGTTGTGGTGGGGGTGAGTTCTTCGGCGGCGACAGTTGGGATAGTTGCATCCCTCAACGTCCTGATTGCTTGGGAGACTGTGGGTAAAGCTTGAGTTGTCGTTGTTGGAGCCTCTTCCACTACGCTAGGTGGAAGAGTACCTCGAATCTCCAGTAGTTCTATGTCTGAAAGGAGATTATTATTTCTGATAGACCTTGCTTGGTCTGCCAATCTTTGTTCCGTACAAGTGAAGAGTCCGGCATCATCCCACAGTGATCGGAGTCTTCTCCTGTAACCAGAGCGGGATGGTTGGCTCTGGTAATACAGCGTCATGAGCTGTATGTTGTCCTCCTTGCTCCACGTGTGCCGAGTGGAAGTCTCCGTGCGAGCCTTCCTCTCACGTCGAGCTGGAGGGATGATGTTAGGTTGTTGATCCTGCTCTGACCCATTAGTAGGGAGAGTAGGAGAGTTTGAAAAATTTGAGAGAGAATTCATATCATAACTGGGGGACTTAGTATACCCCCTAGAGAGTTGGCAGGGAAAACAGAGCACTGAGCGTTGCCCCGCGTCGCCCAGCTCCCCAGGTAGCTACCTCCTGGGTAGTAGACTCGTTAGTAACCATTTAACCCATGGCCATGCATCCTTTTGTCACGAGTCCACAACTTAAGATTGGGGGACTTCTGCGGGTCAGTCCATGCCCGATAAGAAAACCACTAGGTGTCAATTGCACCTAGTCAACAAACCAAGAGCTAGAGCAGAAGGATACAAGAATTTAACCAACGAGAGGCAAGAAAGGGAATTAACCGGGGGACAATTAACAAACAATACAATGAAATATAAAATGATTACAATGTTATAATTACTCGAGTATAGTAACATTATAGATAGTAATATTTCCAAAGGAATGATATTCTTTCAGTACCAGCAGTCTGTGCTGCTATGATATGGAATAAAAATCAGGGGATATATTATCTTAAAATAATGCTTTCTCAGTTACAGATATTTTTCTTGGTTTTTCCATTTTGTGCTTTTTTTTTTCTTTTTTTTTTCTTTTTAACTTTTTTTGTAATTTTCTTTTCTTTTTTCCCTCCTAAACATGAATATTAAGCAAGTACAAAATCTCATGGTAACATTAAGTGATGTTGAGAAGGGACATAAGAGCCTGAGGTTCTGGTGGTCTACAGGTGTTTCACCAGCTGTTTGATCAAGTTCTAGCCCGTTACTTGGACTAGTAACGGGGGAACTAACAGTGTTAATAGTTTAAACTTTGTGCTATAACTGAACCTCAGGAAGAAGACATCTGGCAATGCCAGGGAGTGAGTAGCTCTAGCCGGCAGCCATCCAATGGACTGCTGCCGTTACCGACCCCGGGGGTGCTGACCACGAGTATCAGCCTCGGACCCACTACTCAAGTACTCACTAGCTCTGGTGTTCTGAGCGGGGGCCTTATTATTATTATTATTATTCTCCAGATTTCCTGAAAAATTAACGTAATTCGCCGTCAAATGTAATACTAATATCATTTTTACTAATATCTTTATTTAAACTTTCTATCACCTTTTCTTTCCATTCTGCAAATAAATTTACAGACAAACTATCTTCATATGACATAAACACCAAAAACAACTTAACATTATGTAATGTCATGTAATTGATTTGTAGCGCGATGCGTTAATTGACGATGTCAATTCATCGCAGCTCGGCGCGACACAGTAGCGCATCTCGCCGGGTTCACCCTGATTTTTTTGTGAAACTTGGTTTCGAGATTTCAACAAACTAGGACCGGTGACCGAACTTTTGAGGGGGTCCTAGACCCCAACCGCCAAACGGTGCCCGCGGGGCAGCCATGCCCATATTTGGTCCAAATTAGGCCCAATTTAGCCAAATAGCCTGAACATGCCCAAAAACCAGATTTAAGGTGCTCAAAAACCAGATTTAAGTGATGACACTAGGATTCTTAAGCATATTTACAGTTTGGCCGACAAAGATGTCCTGCAGGATGATCTCAACTCTGTTGTTAATTGGGCTAAGTGCAACAACATGGCCCTTCATGAGGATAAGTTTGAGCTTCTTGTTCACAAGCATTGTCCAAAGAATTCCTTGTTTGATCATCCATTCGCCATCCAAGCTCAAACATATGAAGTGTCTAACGGAAACATGCTGTACCCCACTCAAACGGTGAAAGATCTAGGAGTGACAGTTTCCGCTGATTTGTCCTGGACCCCACACGTCAACAGGATAGCTGAACGCACAGGAAAAGTTGCTTCTTGGGTGCTAAGTGCGTTCAAAACGAGAGACAAAGCCACCATGATGACTCTGTACAAGTCTCTCGTTAGAAGAGAGTATTGCTTCTAACGAGAGGAGTATTGCTGTCCTCTGTGGAATTGCTCTAAGAACAAGGACATCCAACAGCTAGAAGGGATTCAGCGTACGTTTACATCGAAAATAGATGGCACCCAGCACCTCAACTACTGGCAGAGATTAAAGGACTTAGATCTGATGTCATTGCAAAGAAGAAGAGAACGGTATTTAATCATCAACATGTGGAAAGTTCTGCATTGCAAGTGCCCTAATGATATTGGTATCCAGTTCTCGGTGACTCTCAGACATGGTCAAAAAGCAGTTGTGCCCAGTATAGCTAAGTCCAGCAGTCAACGTAATCAAGCACTACACGACAACTCATTTGCAGTCACTGGACCTCGATTATGGAATGTAATCCCGACACATATGCACACCATCGAGGATCCTATCCAATTCAAAGCAGCTTTAACGAACTTTGTGAAGTCATTTCCGGACGAGCCTCCAGCTCCAGGATACAGCCGTCGGAATGGAAACTCTTTGCTTGATTGGAGTGGTGATAAAACAGTTTCTACACTGTCCGGGGGGTCGACTTTTTCGATGGCCCGATAGAGGATTCTATGAAACCCTACAAAGTAACAAATTAAGTACTGGTAGCTAGTGGTCCCTTGAACTCGTATATGAATTTTCATTAAGATTGGACAAAAAATGACCGAGTTATGAGCCAAAAACCATATGACCATATTTGGGCAAACGCACCAAATTTGATCGATTTTGGCCCATAAATTGGTCAATTATCAATATTTTTGAATGAAACCAATTTTATATGGAAGTTAAGCCTATACTAGTACTACACATCCTCTATGATTATCAGCTCAGTATCTACCTAACTGTTGTCATACGTTGTATGACCCGCCTGTATCGTCGAAGACTATAGTGAAGCGACCGTGGGGGTCACCACGTGATACAACCTAACTGTGGTTTTTTAAAGGCCTAACTCAAAATTCCAATACAAAACTTGAGGTCGAAATGCGATTCTACGTTGATTCTGAAAAATATTGAAACCCTATTGAGTTCTAATTCTATTGTTTTGAGCGAAATCAGTTTCGCAAATATCGCAAACTGAGATATGGACGATTTTGTTTATTTTTTGCGATTATTTGAACACAGAATCCACAGTTAGGTAGATACTGAGCTGATAATCATAGAGGATGTGTAGTATAGGCTTAACTTCCATTCAAAAATATTGATATTTGACCAATTTATGGGCCAAAATCGATCAAATTTGGTGCGTATGCCCAAATATGGTCATATGGTTTTTGGCTCATAACTCGGTCATTTTTTGTCCAATCTTAATGAAAATTCATATACGAGTTCAAGGGACCACTAGCTACAAGTAGAGCACCTAAAATCTGGTTTTTGGGCATGTTCAGGCTATTTGGCTAAATTGGGCCTAATTTGGACCAAATATGGGCATAGCTGCCCCGCGGGCACCGTTTGGCGGTTGGGGTTCAGGACCCCCTCAAACGTTCGGTCACCGGACACCGGTCCTAGTTTGTTGGTCAACTGCTATCTCGAAACCAAGTTTCACAAAAAATCAGGGTGAACCCCCCTCCTTAAGTGCTACAATAGATAGTGCTAAAATAGATAGTGCTAAAATAGATAGTGTACCGATTCATAACGATACTAACTTCCTGGGTTTACACGTTATCGTACTCAGTCATGTACCATTAAATATGGGAAAATGAACACCTTAAAATTGTTTGGTTATTTTCTAATTTTCAATCTTATCATTGATCATTAATTGATTACTTTTCTTTAAATTTGTCATGTCAGTTATTACTTACTGTAATATTAGTATTACGTGTTTCTTGGTATTTCTTTCGAAGTTTACGAACTTTAAATTCTTGCGCTTAAGCTCAAGTAACTTACTGTAGATCTAACTAACTTACAAGTAGACGGATAGGCGGAAAAACAAAATTACTTATTCTAATTTCTAAAAATCATCAAAAACTCAGACATATAAATTCAATGAATCCAGAGCAATCAAATAAAAATGTAAACATAGACATCAAATCAATAAATTATGATTATATTACGAAACACGACATTCAGTGAGGTGATCAGTCTGAAATAGAGAGAAAGAGATGGATAAATGATCAGAGCAGATGGAGCTGATCAGGAATAGGAGCAGAACCAGGGAGACAACGGAGATACAATATAATATGCATTATATACAGTATACACCCATCATTCTCTAATGTAATTTCAACAAAATGTACCACGTGTAATCAAACTGTGATATCCGTCAGTTAACTGTTTATTAGGCACATCTGTAATAAATACTGCTTCCCTGCACACTGCCCGATAGTTAATTATAATACTCCCATTAAATCCTCGACCAATTTGTGAGGGCTGAAGTTTCAGAGCAGTTGCAATCTTGCCAACAGTCACATCATCGTTATTAGGCTCTCTCTCAACAAATTTGAGAGCTGCCAAAATATTCATTAGGGTAGTACGACTATAAATAGATAAACTTTCTAAAGTGTATGGAACGCTAGCCTGGTGTATCCCTACCAATCCTCCGTAATAGTGTGATCCAGAATCCCCTAAATAGTTTAAAATCCTTACAGGATCGATCAGAGTATCATCACCTATTTTAATAAGATAATCCCAGTCGAAGTTGCTGAGAATCCCTTCGAGAACTCGGAGTCTAGCTCCTTTATTTGAGTAGCGAGTGTTCACGTTCTCTATCAGATCCTGATGTGTCTCACTCTCCAGGGTCAGATGGTACGGAAGGTATCCTTCGTACAGAGACGAGGTGTACTGCAGAGAAAACCTCCATTGTACGTCCAACTTCTTGCCTGGGAGAAAGAGGGAGTGAGAACTTTATAAAAATAAATAGCTTCATGTTGGTGCATTTATAATTCTGTTTTAAAGATGTGTAGACTGGGTTAAGAATATTTTTAGGATCCATTCTAGAATCTAAACTGGTTGTGGTAATCAAAAAGGTTGCAAGTGCAAATTTAAAAAAATGGAAAATGACCATTTTGTCAACTTAATTTCCGGATTCCTCCTACAATTTTGATGGGCCCCAATGAAACTTGTCAGGCATTAACTAGAAGGTATTCAGAAATTTACGGCCGTTTTGGACTTATCGAGTGCTGAAATTAATGTACTTAAACACATAAAAACACATTCTTTGTTAAAAAGGGCTTATCTAAAGTTAATTAATTTCCATAGAATTTCTGAATTGTATCGGGTTGAATCATTTCTATAAAACGCCGACGATACCTATGGTTTACTTACATACATGATTACATGATGTATACGAAATGTTACAGGCAAGTCACCTTTGTTGCATCTATACTAACCTGTATCCGCTATTTTCTATACAATTAACTCGTTAAAGATCTCCCGGACCTCAAGTCTTGGTGCGGTCATCCTCGAAAATCTCTCTTAGTGGTAATTAAGCGATGGAATAAGTACTCCGCTCGGTGACTTATCAGCTCTATTATTGGTTTCTATCATTAATTAACAGCCATGTAGATTTCGATCACAGCGATTCGTTTTGTACCTTCGCAAGGACAAAATTTGTTTCATTACATATATCAGATAAAGCGCTAAATTTCTTAAAGCTAATATTTAAAGATCTTTAATGTGTTGACACGTCATCCGAGCAAGAGTCTGAGTCCTGAGATCAAGTCCGGGACAATACCATTACTGATGATACACCTGTTAAAGCTACCCAGCCAAACCTTCCTTAACCTTCTAGATCTAGATCTACCACAGATCGTTAGTTTTAAGTGAGAATGTCGTTCGGTTGTCTTACTCGTAAAATGGGATTTAAGACGAATGATGTGGGATTTTGAGTTAACAGTTGACTTCGAGGTCAACTCTCTAGCTGCTTTGGTAGGAAACTACGTGTGCTAGATTTATACTCGTTAGTCTACAGCATTCTGCTCGAAATCCTTGATGCGAATTTCGGCAGGAATATCACTATGTGCGCGAATGATTTTACCAGTCATTTCCTCGAATAAAGCCCTCTGGGATCTTTCGGCTTTATTTAAAGCAGACGATGTGGACTTGTGTCGTCTGAGGTCTGAGGTCTATATTCTGGGAGAGGACGAGTCGCGACCAATGATCATAGTTGACACTGTATATAATTACCCTAAGATTAAGATCTGCTAAGACTACGACAGCCCCATCGAGTTTCTCTCCTCATTTCTCAGAGTTGACTTCTTTGTTTTGCGCCATGAAAATTCTAGGAAGTGATGTAAAATTGGCATTTCCCGAAATACGCACAGATTGCTCCAGACTCCAGAGGCTGCCGTTTTTAACATGTGAATGTGATACTAGAGGGCTGCTGTTGGTGATGCAGTTGCTTTGCATTAGCATACTACTTGCTACAATCGGAGGGAACTATGCTCAAAAAGGTAAGTTCTATAGAATATATAATCATTATTTTAAATCAAAAACAAGTGAGTGTTTTTTAAACGCGTGTTTCAGGTGGTAGTTAAACGTAGTTTAAGGAATAAGAATTAAAAAGTGTTCGCCTGCAAGGCTGCAACGTTTCAAGAGGATAACATCAATACCTTTCAGAATGGACGACAATAGAAAAAGGCAAGGATATTCCATTCGTATTGGCAGCACGACCCCTTGAAATAGAAAATGTTGCCATGGAGCCCATATCTAACGCAGCAGAAAAAATCTTCTTCAAGGACAAAGATGGAGCCATTCTAGCTGACATGTTTCAGATCTATAATGGTCCATCATCGCCCACGCTCTACCAGATATCGAATTGCATGGCTTACGGAATACCAACTAAACCGTATGGGGGGACATCACTTATAAAGAACAGAATTGTAATCAGCAAGGTAAAAGGAGGTCTCACTGTTGAGTTTAATGAAGAGATCATCATAGAAATGACTTCCATCCCAGCGTTAGCCCCAGATGAAACCAAATGCAACGCTTTTCTGGAAGGAGATGTGCGGATCATTGAGTTTTCAATTCAGGACACAGCCAGTGAATCCTTCCGGCAACATGGTGAGATAAGTTTGATTTTTTCTATTTTCTACACATATAACTTTGCAACAGTTAAAGTTGCTCAAAATCAAATGACGTTTAAAAAGAATGCCATCACATCTCACATTTAACGATGAGAGCATTCTAAATCCTGGTTTGAATATTTTGATCATCAGCAGATTGGCGAGCGGTAGAACATGAGAAAGAATACCTCTTTTCCTGGGCAGCAGCTCCATTAGAGGTCCGGACATCCCAGCCTAATGGCCAAACATGGATCAAGTTCATGGACAAAGATAAGAACAGCCTCGGGAATATCCATTTTAGATACTATGCCGATATTGCTGAGCCAGTATATTTCAAGCAAATATTTCCCTGTGAATTGGAATCCGAATTTAAGGACACTGGAAAGAATTTGATTCCAACAACTCGGCATAAACGCTGGTCCTTTGAAAGGTTGCCAAGCAACCAGGGAATAGGCCTCGGGGGCCTAAATGTGAGGTGCAACGACATTTTGATCTCCACTTATCGTGTACCAGATGATTTCCCAGGGATGAATTCAAATCTTTGTCCTGCCTTTTTCAGTGCTGATTTTCATTTCATAGCATTCATCGAGCAAACAGGACTACCGGTCGGAGCGGAGGAATACTTCAAATACAACGGTAAGAAGTTCAAAGAAGTACATGCCCTAAATAATTAACTCCTTGATTTTGCTCATGATTCGAGAATGATTCGCTTTGACTGTCGAATTCGACTGCAGTTTGCTGTTTGGGTTGTCCTGTCCATGAGGAATGCACATTTTTAGAAAAAATTCTTTAAAACAATATTCCCATTTGATTAAAAAACACTTGTTATCCAGGAAAGTGCGCGGCAGGTGAATACGCGGACTTGGAGAAGGGGGGCTGCACATCCTGCCAGGAAGGGACCTACAGTCTAGGAGGAGTAGCTTCGTCGTGTACTTGCTGTCCCAACGGGTACACAGTCGAGGAAGGGAATGGACTGTCAGAGGATCACTGTACTTCTAGTAAGATTTATAATCCTGATAGGATGTACTAACGTTTCAAAATATCGATTGTAGGACCGAGGACGTAGGTTGAATAGATCTAATGAATAAAAAAGTAAATATCAGGTATTACCATTAATCTGTAATTTCCTCCATCTATTCAGAAAACTTATTATATAAAAATCTTGATATTTAAACTTTTACACCCAGTGTCGTGTGATTTGGGGCACTACGCGGACGCAAGTAAATGCGCTACATGCTCACCCTGTAAAAAGGGAACATACAGCCCCGGAGTGGCTGTCACTTCCTGTGCCAGCTGCCCAAACGGAAAAACAGTGCTAGAGGGACAAGGAGGAACAGAGGAAGATTGCATTTGGGGTAAGATTAATATGACCGAACAGTAAGAAAGCTTCTTCTCTGTGACTGTATCATCATTGTACACATAGGTTGTACTAATTTGGTGTACTATATCCATTAAATTACCCGTTATCCAATACCAAGTTAACAGGTAGATAACAGTTAAACTCCCCCTAGAGTCGTGTAGCGGGTTACCACTAGTTACCACTAGTTACCACTAGTTACCACTAGTTACCACTAGTTACCACAACTATAACAGTTAAACTCCCACCAGAGTCGTGTACCGGAGGGTACTACCTGGAGGGTACCACTAGTTGCCACTAGTTACCACTAGTTACCACTAGTTGCCACTAGTTACCACTAGTTACCACTAGTTACCACTAGTTACCACTAGTTGCCACTAGTTACCACTAGTTACCACTAGTTACCACTAGTTGCCACTAGTTACCACTAGTTGCCACTAGTTACCACTAGTTGCCACTAGTTACCACTAGTTACCACTAGTTACCACTAGTTACCACTAGTTACCACTAGTTACCACTAGTTACCACTAGTTACCACTAGTTACCACTAGTTACCACTAGTTACCACTAGTTACCACAACTATAACAGTTAAACTCCCACCAGAGTCGTGTACCGGAGGGTACTACCTGGAGGGTACCACTAGTTGCCACTAGTTACCACTAGTTACCACTAGTTACCACTAGTTGCCACTAGTTACCACTAGCGGAGGGTACTACCTGGAGAGTACCACTGGCTGTCAGCTCTGCGGTAAAGGTACCTACAGTCCAGAGGGTACTGGGATATATATCTATCTATCTTGCTCGACTTGTCCTACTTTCTATACAACTACTGGTATAGCGGTCAGGGTGGAGGATTGTGTATTTGATCCAGGTAAGGTGGTTGGAATTCGTGAGTATAGTAGTGGAGGAAATTCCAGTGAAATGAGGTTGAAATGTGCTGATTTCACCATCTTGGTGGCTTTATTACAGGTACTAGTTTCTAGATCTCGGGATGGGGTTGGGAACAAATAATTATGGTTTGATGAGGGACCCAGTTTGTATTAATTATGCAAACAATTTTCTTTCATTTAATTTATTTAAATCTGGTGTCAGATTTTACAGTAAAGGTCAAAATTGTAGACCGTTTGATGAAAAAGCCTTAACAAAAGATATCAAATTTGTTGAGAACCGAAGAGGTTACCAAGGTTACCAAGAGGACTGAGAAAGAGCTGCAAAAAAGCGGAGGAACCGTTTTAGAGGAATGAGATGAGTATATCTTAACAATTTTAGTGAAATAAGACGACTTTTAATTTAATTTCGTAGTTTGCTTATCTTTGCACAGTATAAATGTTTGCTGTATACAGTCACATATCACAATTATTTCTATCCGCAGTGCAAGTGGTCACAGACCGACCTGTGTGAACTCCTAAACATCTACCATTGACATCCGAAACCTTCATCACTGACTTTCAGGTACACAACTGAACTTCATTATATCAACTATAATGGACTCGTTACGTATTTAAATTTGTATGATGGACGATTCTTCCAGAATAAGTTAGGTACTTAGGTGATGAAACTCCTTTTCCTAAAAATTACTACTCACAACTGGCAGGTTGAAAGACAGTCAAGAAAGGAGGAGATTATACTTCATGATGTGGAAGAGTTAGCCGATGATAGTACGCACTGGAGAGAGAGAGAGAGGTGACAGCCACAGGAGTTCCTCTGTGTGATTCACTCGAATAATAGAGGAGAAATGTTCAGGGACTGGGTTACCCTAGACAGTCTGAACAACTACCCGGCTGAACAAACCTTCTCCACGTCTAAATTCACCAGGATCTTGTAAAATATTGGCAGTATGTGTCTAGACTATACGACTGTGTCTAGAAAAGAAGCTAGCAGTAAGCAACTAATGACTACAAACTATGATCATTACCAAGAAGCAACTAATGACTATTACCTATACCTATTGTAGGCGTTTGGGGAAATTGTTTACTAGATGGTATGTCTAGTATTAGTTACATGCCCTCGTTTGAAACATACACGGTTTGGGTTAGACTAAGGAGGAAAATCTTAGGTAAGCTTGGCAATGATGAGGGCAAGGAGTTTGGTGAGAACCCAGAATATAGAAATAAGGAAGGACCACTAGTTACCACTAGTTACCAATAGTTACCACTATATTTATGATTAATGGTTATTGTTTACCGGCTTAATAATCGCTTTTAATGATTGAATGCGAGGATCAAACACTGATAGAACCCACCCCAGCATATACATATATTTCAAATTATATCACCTCGGCGGTGGCCAGTTATTGACTAATTTAACAATCCATGATGTACAAAGAACGATATTATTAACAATTTATAATAATAAACGTTTTTTAAATCGTCACAACATTATTGGTTCCCTAAAACAAAATGTTTGTCTGACTGAGTAATAATCTGCTATCAGATATTTTCTTGAAAATCAAATTTTTGTTTGACTGAAAATGCAGACTTAATTGCAAATATGATATTTGAAAGAAAACTTTAAAATTTAGTAGTTCTTAAGTTGAAGCTGATTGTGAATCGTTGGAAGTAAGGCTATGGTATGTTGCTACTTTTTTAGCACCATGACCAGAATCAGATTTCTGAACTATTTAAAACGTAACCTGGATCGGCGTCGTTTATTGATCGGATAACTAAAATCTTTTGATGGACACAGGTCCCTTCTGACATAGTCGTGACGTAACATATTCATTTGAAAAGCAACAATCTCATCTAACACACCAGGCTCCTCAGATCTGCTCACAGTTTTAGATCGAATCTCTTTCTTGCCAACTGATGACGGTTTTCTTCCCTTTTTAATGTTTTTTGCAGTGTAATTCTTCGAATTTATCTTTAAACTTCCCCGACGCACAGCTTTCTTCTTAAGCTTATTGTCTTGAAGTTCTTTATCTTTAAGTAGGTACTCTATGAATATACTGATGGGCGAAAAAAGGGAAGTTGAGGGCAACTTTGGCTTTTCTTGGCCCTTTTCATAACTCACTGGATTAAGACCCATATAAATCATGGTCTCAAAGAACACATTTGCAACTTTCTCGGAAATCATTTGGATGGTGCTACGTTTTTGAGCGATGACATCAATGGCACAGTTTAGGACTGCTATTGATATAGCTGTATCACTGTTAGACTGTATGTTCTGTATAATATCAACAATCTTTTTTACTTGCCCATCCCACTTTATCAGATCGTTATAGACATAATCTGCTTTTAATGCATTCGGTTTCCCTAAATCAAATACTGTTTTCATCTCTGAGTTGAGTAATTTTTCATAGTTTTTGCTCGGATCTGCCTTCTGAAGTATGTTAAGAGAATGAAGTCCAATCGATGTAGATTCTTCAGTTTTGTCCTTAAAGTTTGTTATGTATTCTAGAGGAGTTTGGCTCATGTCAAAGCCTGGGAAATCTGTCTCTGAATTAAGGAACTTTCCTACTTGCACGATGCATGATATGAGCTCTTTTAAAGATCGAGATGTTCTTATTTCTGCACATGCCGTAACCACATTTTTGAGGTAATCCAGATATTTCTCCTCCTTTTCAACTACGAGATCTTGATGCATACTGACGATCTGCATGTATGTGGTAAAGTTTGGTATCTGGTATAGCTGATACAAATACCTATCTTCCTCAGAACTCAATTTAGAAGAGTCAAGTTGTTTGTCCAGTAGCTGTGGCATATAATTTCTACCCTTCTTGTCACTTTCAGAAATTTTAACCATCTCTACAAGAAATTCGAGCTGGTTTCCCATTTTCTTGACAAAATTTTTGAGAGGAAACTTGGACATCCACTCTTGTATCTTTTCTGATGTGATGTTATCCATCTTCTTTCTCATTATGCCTATGGATTTTTGGTCGTCTCCATTCAATATTTTTATGCTTTTATTGTGATCAATTTCTTTGTCGGGAAATTTTTGAGCGGGTTTTGTCGAAGCTTTTTGAGCAAATCTTGTCATGAGAAAACTTTCGTGCTGCTCTATTTCAATTTGTGGCAGAGTTGTCCAAAATGTCTGGTGAACCTCCATAACTCCTTTCGGAAATCTCTTAAATCTTTGATTAATCATGCATTTGGCATTCATATCTTTCGAAAGTTTGCTCCAATGAATTTTTGAAAGCTTTGGCATTTTATTTCGTGAATCGACCAAAGTCATTTCGTCAGACGGTAGAAGAGAATATGCCATATATGCAGCTGATGGTGAAGTAAGGGCTAGAGGTGCTTTGAGAGCCGGTGGTGCACTAGGTGATTTTGGAGCTGGTGGTGCATTTGGAGCCAGTGGTGCCTTTGGAGCAGGAGGTGCTTTAGAGACTGGAGGTGAAAATGGAGCTGGCGGTGCATCAGGTTCTACTAGTTCTGCATTAGGAACTGGTGGTGCTTTTGGAGCCGATGGTGCTTTTGGAGCCGGTGGCGCTTTTGGAGCTGATGCTGCACTAGATGCTACTGGCGACTTTGTGACATCGAGCATGTTTGTTTCCTCGGTAAGAGTTTCTGGGTTCATGATTATTTGAAAAAGGTTTGTTTCCTTGCTGTAGCTGCAAACTCCAGTAGCTTCTTCTTTTCCGATAAGACACTTCTGAAACAGTAATAAGTGTGTACTGTACAAGGTATGACTATGACTTAAGAAGTTTTTCAAATATTTAGTACTTAACATTTCGTTGCTTTCTCATGGTACTACTCACTTTACAGTAATGAGGCTAAAGAGAAATGAATTGATGACTGCCCGACCACAGGCAAAGTTTTGCACATTTTCGAAATAATTGATTAAAAATATTCTCAAAATCAAATTAAATAGTACTTACCCATATTTGATGGCTTGAAGCAATTGCGGTCGATTTTACATATTTCCCTCAAAAACAACGAAATCTATCTAATTAAAAATATGCAATACTAGGATCGAGGAACAATAAATGTATAACGTAGTATAGGTAATATCTGATATCTTACTAATGTACAATCGTTATATGACCGCATTTGCCAAGATTAAGAAGTGATTGTATGGGTTGCTCATTATATCACATTTCAGAAATACTGGCATTATAGCCAAAGTTCCCACTAGCGATACAAATGTTGTATACTCAGTTTGGTAGTTTTATATTTTGTGGCCGGAAAGAAAGCTTTTGGCGAACATAACTGTACGACAGGCTTTAGGGGACAGAACATAATTTCCCTAATTATTGAAAATAACATTAAGTCATCTCTCCTCCATCTTTTATATACTGTAATCTAGGTAAACTATAGGTAAAAATATAATATTAATCATAAGCTAAAATGTACTAATCTTTGTATTCTAAATGGGGAAAAAGAAGAAACATTGTCAGTCAGTCGAGAAAATTGTCAGTCAGGCTATATGGCAGCTTTGTAGATGTTGTGACTATGCTAGTAGTGGTCCCAGGCTTGCGACTGGAATTGCGGTGTAAGTGTGTTCAACCACAATTATATGATCTGATGGTTAACCCCCTTTAACAGAGTGGTATACCCATGTAAATTATGTATGCAATATTTGTTGCGCCTATGAATAATTTGAATATGCCAGATTTTAACTGCAGCTTGAAAATTTGTATAATGTGATAAGAGCTTATCAGTTGCCAGTCTATATGAAATGGGATGCTTCCTAACTACCACTTTAAAGTGCAGCATGAAAAGAAATACTAATCGTAATATTTAGGAAATATGAAACCATCTCAATTTCACTTTCAAGTGTTAAAAATTGGATTTACTTTGAGGGTCATTTACCGGTTATTAACCGTGTTATCTTAAGGAGGTGCGAAACAGGACATTTTAAAGCTTCTATTTATAACCTATTTTGTCACCTCAGTTTCCTTGGGTATTATTTTAATTAAACTTGTAGACTCACGCTACGAGGCAATTCTCAAATGTCAGTGATGAAGTGTTCCGTGGATGAAAGGACTACCACCGGTCAGCAGTCTGGCCAGCTCATTTATATCCTGTTTGTTGTCTTGGTACATGGTTATAAGTGTGATACAGCCTCATTAGTAGAGGAATCTTCAGTTCTCGGTTATTGCAACCCGTTTTTTGCAATTTGTTTGTTTGTTTGCGGCTGGCGTGTACCAAAATATCCGAAGTTCGCTTGTCCAACAAAGTATCGGTTTTCTCACCAAGTATCGCTTGTCTCACCAATCGAAGAGTTTGTTGCACACGCTGTTATTACTTATTTTGGTACCTTTCCATAATTTAACGCTCTCAGAAAATGGCGACCAAGCTTTTTCCATGGCCGATTGCAATTGTGTTTATCTCATATGTGGTTGTAACAAGCGGAACGAGAGTTTACCCTCAGCCTGGAGTTGTTCTGGAGGACAGTGGATATTCGCTAGGTAACTATTCAATTAATGCAAGTTTTTCCTCCGCAAAAATAAGCGAAATGTTTGCTGAATTACTAGTGAAATCCGCGAACATTCGACTTTAACCGCGAACGTTTCACTCTTGTTTATTGCTATGACAATACCATGGGGATCCTTACAAACTCTTAATTTTCAGTGTTTGAAGATGTGGAAAGTATAGCTGTCAATATTATGATCAGCAAGCCCAATCTTAAAGTTCCCGACTGCGTCACCGAAGATCTGGCCGACATGGTTGATAAAATTGATTACATGAACACTCTTTATAATTATACAACAAATATATCCGATATTGCAGCGTAAGTATTTATTATTTCATTTTTATCTGCAACATCTTTTATAATATCATTTATTTATAAGTTATCTAGTTGTCATAATATTAAGGTTAGTGAATTGCTCCAACATTAGTTCCGCTAAAAAGTACTCCCGCCTTGACAGATAGCTTATCAACAAATACAATGCTATCAGCTATCCAAAACATTTGCACTTAGATACGGAAATATGATTCTCACATTATCCTCGACAGGACTTTAAAGCTATATAAACCACTCCTTGAAATGTTAAAAGCCGACGTTGAGCACGAAGAGGAAGACCTTCGTTTTCAAGTTCCAGGTTTTTCATTGCTTACGTTTTTTAAATTCAGACTTGGGCATTCAAAATGTTTACAATTAACTCCAATATCGACTCGTGTTTACAAATCAAATCTCGTCAATATCCTTTAAACGTTCAACATCAGGAAACAGCGACATTGGCTCCATCCACTATATGATGAATCGTCTTTGGTACGGCTCTGATAATGATATACGTAAAAAGATTGTTGCCCTGGAGAAGGGGGAACAAGAGTTGGAATACGTATTTTATTTATCCAAAGAAGCAGATAAATTAGAAAAGGTGAGAAAAGCAGAATTCGTTTCTCTTTAAAAAATTCATACGCTAAATCGTTTATTTCAATAAACCCTTACCTTAAAATAACGTAGACATTTTATTGTCAATTATCTTCGCTTAAAAATCTAAATCAAGTTAATAAACTTCAGATAAGATTATCGGAGCATTTACTAGTAACTCAAGAAGAATATGATGACGAGGATGTTGCCTATTTTGATTTTGACGACAGAAGTGTAAACTTTATGATGTACAGTGTAGATAAGGTATTTAAAACTTATTAGTTGTATAATTGATATTTGCAAGCTGGTCATCTTTTCCGCGGATCACATGTGCTTGGCGTAGTTGGTTAATTCGCCTGTCTACTGGCTCTGAGGATACGAGTTTGAATACGAGTTGGGCCAGGATCTCAAAACAAAGGCAACCGTCACTCACCAAACCATGGTGTGAATGGTAGTGGCTCTCATTAGAGCTGCGAAAATAACACGCGTGCATATGCCTGGGGTTGCGTCCCGACTATGCTGCAGGGAAATCTGTAGCGAATGGAGAATGGACCGTGGCCATACCGCAAAGGAAAAGGAGATAAGCCCCTCGTTTCTAACTTGCTAGATTCGCCATTTTTGTGTTGTTATTGTTTTTGCCTTGGAACTTGGCGTAAAGAAACATTTTCGTAAGTATTGACAAGGAATTATTTGCTAAATAACAATTTTTTGAAATATTTAAAGTTAATTTTCATTATTTCAGAGGTTCTCCGTTCAAAAGTACATACGTAGACTACGCCAACTCAACGAAGCTCTCTCGCAAGCCTCTAGTCCTAGACGGGACCGCCGACCAACTGTCAACCTGATATCCTACGATCACTTGTTACAGTTGGTCGAGGGACATGACATCTTCGACAACACCATCTTTAAGGAACACCCAATGTACCTGAACCAATTTGCTGAACTGGCCTACGTGAATATCACGAAAACTGACGAATTCTTGTCAGTGTTTGCGACTATAACATTCCCATTGCTGAGAAAAGACAATATACTGCCTCAGTTCAATATAGTCCAAGTAGGATACATGTTCACCCAGGATAACAAGACAAGATGTGTAAAACATGTCTTGCCTGAACAAGTCACTCTTTTCAATGGTGCCTACTACGAGATCGAGTGTGACCGGCGAATGCCCGAACTTTGTAGAGTTAATTTTATCAATATGATATCGCAGCAGTCCTGCTTTCACGGTGACTTTGTGGATTGTGTGATGTTCCCAATTGAGTGTGACACTGTAAGTCCCTTATACTTTGAGGAAGGTCTGTTGATATCGACAAGCCAGACGGTACAAAGACTAACGGAGGAATCACATGTTGAGAATATCAAACAACAGGGTGATGCTATCTTCATACCCTGGGAAGAAACAGTGTCTGTTGTAGTAGGAGATGAAGTTCACCACAATCCCTATGACATGTCTACCCGCAATGATATGAAACACACTAATGAGAGTTTTATATTCGACATAGACATTAGATACAGTGAAATGGACCTGGCACATTTGCTGAAATACAACATTAACCTTACTACAAACTGGCCTGAAGAGGAAGCCATGCTACGGTTCATTATTGAGCAAAGGAAGAATCTGGAGGCCATATTAGAAGTTGTAATAGAACGAGAGAGACAGGCGACCCTTAAAATGATCATTTCTATAAGCATCAGTCTGTCGACGCTTACCTTTGGAATAGTGGCATACTGGTTTGTTAAGAAAAGTTCATGGTGCCAAAGGAAATTGATAGGGTTTATTTCTCCGGATGTAAATGTAATGTAGGAGGGACAGCCATAACGTTAAGGCTGAAGCAAGGTATGAAATATCGAATAAGGGGTCTAGTCGTTTACAAATTGATATTACGTAATCAGCCGGTGACCCGGGAAGGGGGGGGGGGGGGGATGGGGCGGGGTTAGGGGGGTTTCCAAATGATTACGCTAATGTAATGATTACGGAGGGGGATGGGAAAAATTGTCCAAAAAGTGATTACGTAATATTATGCGAAAATATTAAGCGATAAGAGCTCAGACAATCGTCATTCGTTCAACAAGTGAATTTTATTACATCTTGAAACATCTTGAAACATATAACGTTTTGTCGTTATTTTAAAGTATTTCATTGCAGTTTACCTACTAAAGTTTAGTTACTTAGAGAGATAGATAAATTGTTTAGATCCAAATTTGATGTTGTTATTTAGTTATTACTTTAATACATTTTTCTACTCTATCTGGTATTTATTATTATAACTTTTAAAATTGATGTGTAACAGTACTTCAAATTTCCCAAGGATATTATCTCTGAATGTCTGGTTATTTGGTCTGTGATCAGTAGTAAATTTCAACAAATTTCTACAAATATTCCTTTACTTGGTTACTGGTTAGTAACCAATCGTTACGGGGGGGGGGGGGGGGGGGGGTTACCTGAGCATGAGATCCAAGTGTGTTTCATGGGTCCTTCCCTGAATATGTTTCTTAACACATCGTCTTGAACTTTGCTTGTAACCACGATCAGAATTCTTGGGGAATCTGGACAGAAATCATTGTCAAGGCATTCCCTTTATAAAGTTTCGATTTGAATAAAATATACAAATAAGTTGTTTTTAAGCAGAACTATTCTATATATTCCCAAATTTTTCATAAATTATAAATCTCGCAAGTCGCAATAAATCACATCAAATAACAAAAGTTGAGAAAAACCTTCATTTTGATGACACACAACCCAGTGCTTTTCCAGTTTCAGTTAATCAGATTTGTTGGAAAAATGACTGAATAACACACTATACTTTCAAACGCATATCTAGAAGATACGAGCATATCTAGAAGATACGAGCATATCTAGAAGATACGAGCATATCTAGAATATACGAGCATATCTAGACGATACGAGCATATCTAGAAGATACGAGCATATCTAGAAGATACGAGCATATCTAGAAGATACGAGCATATCTAGAAGATACGAGCATATCTAGAAGATACGAGCATATCTAGAAGATACGAGCATATCTAGAAGATACGAGCATATCTAGAAGATACGAGCATATCTAGAAGATACGAGCATATCTAGAAGATATTACCATGTCTAGAAGATATTATCATAATTATGATCATTGCCGTGAACTCCCTACAACCTATAGTCAGAGACAAAACGGAATCTCGTTAGCTTTTCGTGTTAAAAGCGATTTCTCAACGGTTATCACCTCTCTAGATGATTCTTAAAACATTTGGACACTATTGCATTTTTGAAAAAAATGCAATAGTGGTGTTTTCGGCCACACCCTTTTTCAGGGTTTCGCGGTAAGTCGAATTTTTGTATTTCAGCCCAGGAAGGTCTTAAAGACTATTCCGATACACCAAAATGTGCCTAATAGCCACATTTATATACAACTTATGAAGCAACATATACCTTAAAATGCTTCGTTTCGGAAATATGGCCGAAAAACGGTTTTTGGCTAGACGCAGTTCATAATTTCCGTGATTTTTGGCATTTCCGCCTAGGAAGGTCGTAGAGACTATTCTGATACACTAAAATGTACACAATGGCCACATTGATATACAACTTATGAAGCAACATATACCCTAAAAGGCTTATTTTCGGAAATGTGGCTGAAAAACGGATTTTTGCCGAGCGAAAAATGACAATATTCACAAATGGGCTATTGGACTGTTAACTAGAAAGGTCTTAAAGACTCATGAGCAACATAGCATTTGTCACAAGATGTAAGATGACTCACTTTGTGTCCAGAAACACCTACAAAAATTGGAGAATGATCTACTTTATTGGGCATATCTCTTAATGGGCCAGGCCAGCATATTTGTGTCTTACGAAAGGGCAATTTTTCAAAATTACGGTTTCTTAAGGTCAAAGGGTCGGCTGCTAACAGCAAATTGTTTGCAATTGCCGACTCATGCACATCATATAGTTACACTGAAAAACGCTCACTTTAGGAGTCATCAGTAAATAAGTTTAACTACTGCATGATTTGTGAAAACTCCAACAATTAATTTTCATTGGCACCAATTTAGCCAAAATGTAATGACAAAAGTTCAACTTTTGATTTATTTATTCCTAATTCCATGAAACCATGATATGTACTAAGAATACCGGACCTAAAATAATTCGGCACTGGATCCGGGCCAGACTGTCGATTGACCACTGACCAGTACCCCACTTTATAATTATAATTGACTTCACTGCCTCGACCAATATTGGTCTGTCTAGTCCATCAACCATTGGTCTGTAATCCCTGGATTGAGATCTGTTGGCTGCAGTTTAATTTAGCTCATTTACCATAATAATAATACCGCAGCTGCAGTGGTTTGGTTCGCATAGATTTTCCCATCGTATGATAATGTGTGTCATTCCCTCGTTTTTTTATCAATTGGTTACTGGCTGTCTCTTTTGTTATTACAGCTGCCTCGACATCTTATCTAGGGCGCTAATACATTAGTACTAGAACATTAGAACTGTAATTCTAGAACTTCAGATTAAGATTTCTAGGCCGAATGGCAGGGTTCGAGATTCGACTTTAAAACGCTCAGTTTAGGAGTGATTAGTAGATAACAACTGCATGATATGGGAAAAATCCAACTAGTCAAGGATCATGCTGAATCAAAGTGTTCTTCGACTTGAACTTAAGTCTTGTAACCTACTGGAGTTTGGGCAACTGAATCGAATACGACCTGATATTAATTTTAGGATGTCGGGAAATTCATTAAGAATTTAATTCTTTGGTTTTTCAATTGTGCTACGAATCCGAGTTTGAGTTGATAACACCGTCCTGTTTGACTCTCAAAGAGAGGAACCAAGGCTTAGGTTCTTCTTTTTTTTGGCTCTGAGATCCAACTTTAAGATCGGACTTCGGAGATCCTCGCGTCGGAAATCATGTAAGTGTAACATCACTACCGGAGATCAGACTTTTTTGCTTGATATTGGACCTATAAATCTAATTATATATTCGAAACAGCACGGGATGTAACCAAGGTTAATTGAGATAAGATATACCAGCTTTCGGGGTTACAAAACCCCATGAAAGGCAGGCAGAGCATCCTGAATCCTCATGCTATCCTCACGTTGTCCATCTAGGTCCAGACTCCAGCCTCTCATTAAAAACCAGCTATTAAGCCCGAGATCCGTAGTGTCCCGTAAGTAAGAGATCGTTCAGATTTTGGTCATTAAGATCCCCTCCCCGCTCTAAAGTCCACTTTACCCAAAGCTGGAAAAATTTCACATGTGAAACCTAAATAGCTAAATCAGCGTCTCGAGACCTTCTATTATATATATATATAGCCCATGCCCCAGAAAAGATCTCGAAGCAGCTCACAGCTGTAATAACAGAAGAACTAACCAGTCACCATTTGATTAAAAACGAGGGAATGACACGCAATATCATACTATGGGAAAATCTATGCGACTGAAAAAAAGAATATGGGGTTATTCTGAAGTGGGAACCAAACCACTGCGGTATTATAGGAAATTAGATAAATTAAACTGCAGCCAACAGATCTCAATCCAGGGATTACAGACCAATATTGGTCGAGGCAGCGAAATCAATCATAATTATAAAGTGGGGTACTGGTCAGCGGTCAAGCAACAGTCTGGCCCGGATCCAGTGCCGATTTATTTTGGTACATATATCATGGTTTCATGGCATGAATAAATAAAAAGTTTGAAGTTGAATTTTGGTCTGGCACACATTCTATTTAAATTGGTGCCAATGAAAATTAATTGTTGGAGTTTTCACAAATCATGCAGTAGTACTAGTTAAACTTATTTGCTGATGACTCCTAAAGTGAGCGTTTTTCAGTATAACTATATGATGTGCATGGGTCGGCAATTGCAAACAATTTGCTGTTAGCAGCCGACCCTTTGACCTTAAGAAACCGTAATTTTGAAAAATTACCCTTTCGTAAGACAAATATGCTGCTGGCCTGGCCCATTAAGAGAGATGCCCAATAAAGTAGATCATTCTCCAATTTTTTTAGGTGTTTCTGGACACAAAGTGAGTCATCTTACATCTTGTTACAAATGCTATGTTGCTCATGAGTCTTTAAGACTTTTCTAGTTAACAGTCCAATAGCCCATTTGTGAATATTGTCATTTTTCCCTCGGCAAAAATCCGTTTTTCAGCCACATTTCCGAAAATAAGCCTTTTAGGGTATATGTTGCTTCATAAGTTGTATATTAATGTGGCCATTGTGTACATTTTAGTGTATCAGGATAGTCTCTACGATCTTCCTAGGCGGAAATGCCAAAAATCACGGAAATTATGAACTGTGTCTAGCCAAAAACCGTTTTTCGGCCATATTTCCGAAACGAAGCATTTTAAGGTATATGTTGCTTCATAAGTTGTATATAAATGTGGCTATTAGGCACATTTTGGTGTATCGGAATAGTCTTTAAGACCTTCCTGGGCTGAAATACAAAAATTCGACTTACCGCGAAACCCTGAAAAAGGGTGTGGCCGAAAACACCACTATTGCATTTTTTTCAAAAATGCAATAGTGTCCAAATGTTTTAAGAATCATCTAGAGAGGTGATAACCGTTGAGAAATCGCTTTTAACACGAAAAGCTAACGAGATAGCCTTTTAGAACGGTTGGGATCCGACTACTAATATAACCTAACAAACCTCCAGTATAACAAGGAGGAAGAGCGGAGAGTGTAGAGATGTCTTCATCATCACTCAGCAGATGTCTGATCAACATTAGGAAGAAACATAGTAATGTTACCAAAACACACAGGTTCTTCTTCTTGAGTGTCATCTTGCTCTTTTGATAATTTGTGACGTCATGTTAGAAATTGATGACGTCACCAAAATGTTGGGTTCATCAGCAGTAAAGTTCAACATTAGGTACATTCCATACTACAAGAGAATTGAATGTAGAGATTTAAAGAGATGTAATCAACAAATAGTTGTACATAGTGATATTATAGAATCCGTATCTTTTTGAAAATCAATTATGATTTCAAAAAGGCGGCAACTAATTGTATATGAATTTCCAAACCTTTTCTTGAATTTATTTTTCAGATGAAGTAAAATGAGGTTGTAACTTGACATTTTGTAAAATGTATGTTTATACTTTGTCAACAAAGAAATAAATACTATCAAACTTGATAAAACTAAAAACAATAATGATTGTTGGTAACCTCAAACAAATAAAAAACATCGGTTTGCTACGCATTGCGACACTAACGACACGGCAATATACGTATATATAGTTCGACCAAAAACAGCCGAAGTAAAATGAAACATCAGAAAACTGTCATCATTTTAATGACTACTCATCACACCACCGATTCGAGTAAAACACAGTCCTTTAAAACGACAACTGACAATTTGATTTGTCGGTCACGGGTCATGTCGCAGAGTTATCCACTGTTACTACTGTTGATGCGCTGTTTTGCGTTCCGATTCAGTGGAATTACGAACTTATCAAAGAAGGGTGATCTATAAGGAATGTTTTCTTCTTTGAAAGCGAGAGGAAAGAGTCCAATGTCCACTAGAAACAGTCTACCAACCTAAATATTATTGTGTTGATATTAATATTGTATCAAGTAGGTCAAAATTTGGAATAAGGCCAAAATGCTATGTTAGGTAAAAGAAATGTTAAATATCGGTCCAATTCTAATAGAATATTAGTACACGAAAGGTCACTTCTACATGATGAGCGGGGATTGATACATACCTTGCCTTGAGTGAGAAGAGGAGCCCCAAGAGCGCAGGTAAATTTAGGAGGTGTAGGATTACGTGGCATCTGCTGAGGATGTTGGGGGTCAACAGCAACTATTGGTACTGTACTCTGCTCCGTCCAGTCTATCACCGTGTTCATCCACTCCGGCCAATTTAGTAAGGTATTACGGTCCTGGTAAAATCGAGAATTTGTAATATTTAATTGACAATGATTATTGACGAACTGTAAATCTAAAATTAACTTATGAAATGAATTTCAAGACAAATTTAATGACTATATGTTCATAATAACCTGGGTCCCGTCGATGATGATGTCAATAATATTAGGAAGCCCCTGGAGACCGTTCTCTAGTACACACTTGCACTTATGCAGAATGTTAACAATGCCATCACAACCCTTGGGGGTGGCAAACAAGATAACTTTAACGTTAACACCATGTTGAGACAAGTGGAGAGCCGCCGTGATAGCCACTTTACCACTTTCTCCACTGCTCACCAAAGCGGCAACTACGGGTGGCTTGTTGTGGTTGTTGAAACTGACACGACAACTTCCGCCCAGAACCTGAAGTTAATTTTTATATTAGAAGGATGACAGAGTCACGGGCAATTTACTATAACAGTCTGGAATATTCGCAGATTTATTGATTGTTTGTTTGTTTGTTTACTAATGGCCAATAGTGAGCAAAAATTACTGTCAAAATATATACAGAAATACAAGAAATGTACCTGAATGACCATTTGTGCAACAGACATTCCAGCTACGCTGACAACATGACTATAACTCAGACCGCAGTTTATGGCCCTCTTAAACAGTGCTATCCTCTTAGAGAGACTCAGTCCCACAAGAGGTATCTTATCGTCAGACGTAAAGTCGCCATCAAATGTAGGTCCGTGGATGGGTGCCACATTTTCTATCACCATCTCGGTCGGCTTCAGTTTGTCAGGGTTGCCTAGTCTAGGAAGACCACCGTCCTGTTGCCTCCACTCGTCAAATATGGTATCTTTTTGGAACATTTTGTTGCTCGATTGAAAGTCAAAGTCTGGGTTCATGTTCTGGACGGACACGGAGAAGGTATCGCCCTGTGAGGATATTGACAATTGAGTTAAAACATGAACGAATATATGAATTTAATGGTAATCGAGGTGATGTGACTATATCACTTACGACTGTTGTCGTGCGTTTATCGTTTATATCAAAGATAATCGCATTCAACAGACGATTATCGTTTCGGATACCATAAACGTGCGATTATTCCTGCACGGTTAATAAATGTTAACAAAAGCTTATATTAGAAATGCCCAATATTATATTTTCACAGTGCGCGCGCACGACAAACGCGCGTCAATTTCGGCGCGAATGACACAATAGAACTTGTTGCAGCGCGTTACAGCAACAACAAAATGTAGACCCTTTTGTGAACTGTCTCGGGTTGTCTGGCACCACACACATGTTATATGGTGGTTTGAACGGCAACTACCGTGTAAATTGCGGCAGTCACAAAACGTGACTGTAACAATGGTTTCAACAAAAAACAGAACGATAACTTGCAATCATCACACATATTAAGCGTTTCTCGTTTAGCGTTCAATGATATCATGGCACCAAATTAATGAGATAATACCAAATGGATAAAGAGGTAAGCGTTTACCTTTTTATACTGCTTGCGTGTCATATTGTCCTGAATCATTTCATTTGGTGAGCTCCCTCTACGCCCCGGACTCTGGTCCCGTCTCATTATCGTTATCTGCTTCGGATCCCTGCCAAATGCAGAGTACAGTTATAGGGCGTTTCTCATTACGTTTAAGTGTTTTTGCAATCTGCACATATAAATACAAGACAAACGATTACACCAAATTTGAATGTAGACCCAGTGCAGTACTGATGAAATTCGGCACAGTCAAACGTTTTAATGGGGGAACTGGGAAGATATACTTTACTTAAACTTGAACTCACTGATTTTGTCGAGAGGAAGGTAAAGAGACGATATCGAGATCTGTAATCTCATGACTAAAGAGATCTAGCGTGTTGTTTTTCTAGGAGGTTAGACAGTTTGATTATATATTCACAAAGGAAGCAACGGAGAATAATGACAGAAGAGAAACCACGAGGGTCTATTGAGGGACTTTTTTAATTATAATAATATGTTAAAGAAACTAACAAAGAAATGGAGGCATAACAAACCTGTTTCCCGGGTAGGTCGGTGAGAGATATGGTGGCTGAACTTATCTTAACTACTCGACCTTTTATGGAACTGCCATTGCTTAGTTTCACGCACACTACAGACCCCACATAATCTGTTGTCATAGCTAAATAATGGGTCACTAATTATCGTCACTGATCATCATTAACTAATTAAGTCTTGATTACAACTTGATCAACAGTTAAATTGGGGATGAGGTGAACTCAATTAAGTCAGATAGTAATTAAAGATAGCTGAACAGATCGTAACATTCGGATGAAGTCGGGAAAAGTTCCCTTTCTATAGCAATGAATCTGTGATTAGAAATCATACAAATAAAAGTCAAAAGTTGCTTGTACACTGTACACTGTACACTGTACACTGTACACTGTACACTGTACACTGTACAGGATCATAAACGATTCCTTATACCCCCTACAGAGTATTTGGCAGTCCTTTGCACTCCTGCTCACTATCTAGGAGTTTTCAAATATATTAACACACCATCGTAACAACATTCTCAGCTATGAAACAATAAAATGTTCGACGAACAAAATCAAATTGCCAAATGGTAATTATTTTTAATGAATCTGGATTTTAATTAAGAGGAAAATAATACACAATCTAGTATTTGAATATTAAATTACATTATTAAATGAACTTCAAAAATGTACTTTCATACTTAAAACAGTTTATAAAACGCCAGAATAATGCCACACAGAGGGAGAATGTACCAGAAGAAGGTACACTTTATTATGTTCTTCATCAGATGCATCTTCAATAAACCTGCCTTTGAATTCAGATGAGGGTATGGGGTATCAGGGATATCAACTTTCAGCACGGCACACAGTTTCTGCCATCCCTCTTTAGGATCCATAACAGTTACACCAGGATCTGATTCAAGTAGCTTATTATGAGAGTTGTACGACTCCACAAGTTCCTTCCTGCTCATTTCACCAAACGCTTTCTTGTGGATAAAATCACCGATGACAATATATTGACCAAGCTGATTGGTTAGAAAGTATTTCAAGATCCACTTGTACCTCCTGACTGTATTACCAGTTTCCAGTAAATGTGTCATACTGTTCACCCACAGTTCAGGATCACGTTTAGTAAGGAGGACTGCAGCGTCAGGACACAGTGCCCGGAGCTCACTGTAGTACAGCGCGTGGGGGAAATCTACCACGGCATCATATCCAGCCAAAAGTTTACTAAGAGGTGGTCCACTCTCAACCTTGTTTTCAATGTAGTCACACCAGATTTGAGCGTGGCCTGGCGTGGTGAATATGTCTTCAAAGTGATAACATTTGTAGCCAAGGATTTGGAGAGCGTTTTTCAAGCTGTACGTTCCAGTTCGAGGGTAGCCAGCTCCTGGAAACATTAAGCAACATTCAACATTATTGCTTTATTGGAGGGTAATTATACTTTCTTTAATGTCTGAACGAAAAAAGGATGTCCTCTCATGAAATTACGAAAACTGTACAAAATTGAAAATTCTCTGCCATTTCACCATTGCAAAAATTGATGGTGAGGTTAAAGGAAAGCCATTTCTAACAGTGAATATTGATAGATCACCACAATGGTACAACTTACCTATCACTTTTAGAGTGAGTTTTGTGTTCTCACTTTGTATTCCCATTTTCCAGAAGTTCCAGATTACCTCAAGCAACAAAACAACGAATATCGAATAAAGGAAATGACTATACAGCAAACAAGCAAGGGTGTGGGTAGGTGGCAGGCTGTGACTCATTGTACCGACGTTAGGTCCCAATCTATTGTTCCTGATTGTACTTTTCTTTGTTGCTTGAAGCTTGGCATTGTTATTAGCTATGTTACCAGGAGCCACTTTGTATTAGATATACTGGGTGACTTTGTTTATCTGCCAAGGACCCAGTAATTTCTTTCAGGCTTAATTAAGACGTAATAATGGTAAACTGAGCTGGCTGCCGAAACTTGTCCATGACCGTCAGCTGATCATCTACAATCACAAAAACTTGTGGAACTGTATTATTATAATTCTTCTTCGCTCAGCCTTAATCGGCTTGTAACTTGGTCGTCTATTGCTCAATCGAATAATTCTTTGGAGGTTCTCGTAGGTTTTGATATGACGATTCAGTAACAAATCTAGCTCAATACTTTAAAAATAAAAACGACAAAAATACTGGTATTACAACGACATACTTGACCAATCAAGCAAAATTATGAACGAAGGAATCGCGTTATAATTGTTAGATGGTGTACTAAATAGATTGTCAAACATTTTATTCCACCAATCATGGCTTACTAAAATACAACCTCGTGTGTTCAGTCAATAGCAATTCAACACTGTAAATTGTAACGTTGAAACAACATTAAAAATATTACATTTTATAATTACTAACAAAACCAAATTTTCACATTCAGTCGAGTATTTTAATGTTATAGTTTCCTGTCAAATATGACATCCAAATATTGGTGTAGAAAATAATTGAAAGATTTGCGGCAAAAATCAATATTCAGTCTTGGAACCTCATCGACTAACGAAACTGCTGATAATTCGGTACCCAAATTAAAAAAAGACAACTTAAAGTTTAAAAAACACTTCTTAATACTACAGAACTATCAAAAATCACAGCCTAAGTTTAAATTTAACCACTTTTGGAACGCTTCTGATAGTCAAAGAAACTCGCGTCCCTCTTTTCACAACATCCCCCACAGAAACTCCATGGCACAATCCCAAATTCGCTACATCTTCCGACACCAAATCTTCCTCAACTTCCTCAATTCCATGCAGAAACCTCTCATACACCTCGCCTGTCTGTACCAGGACACTGCCCTCCTCCAAGAACAAGGAGAACTCATCCTTAAGATGATCAGTGTCTGAATCTCTGGTCTGGAATTTAAGGAGACAGCTACTCCCTAAGTTGAGGGTGGCGATGAGAGGTGTGAAGAGGGGACCGTCCACGTGAGCCATGATTCCTTGTCCAGGTTTGTACTCATTTACCAGTACGTGGTTTATGTGGGTTCCAGAGAAGAGACCTTCTTTTTCAAGTTTGGTACAGTGGGTTTGCAGCCATGGTGGGAGAGATTCCAGCACCATTCCTGCGTGAAAATATTGTTATGTTTATATTTCATTGGGCAACAAAAGGGAGCCAATACTGATAACTCGGAATTCGGATAATGAACAATTAGTAGAAGGGCGAAAAATAGTTGTCCTAAAGATCTTGGAGTTTGGGACGTGATATGTCCAGACAATCAGCAATATTCCATCCCAAAGATTAAATTTTTCCAGAATAGACAACGTACCTTTAGGATGTGGAAGACCGCCCCAATTCTGTAATCTCCTATTATTAAGATTCTTCCATTTTGGTTTTGGCACATTATAAACCTTTTCCAAGAGCATCACAACGTCATCTTTTGTTAAGAAGTTTGGAATATAATACACAGTTTCAGGGACACTCACAAGTCTATACTCCTGGTATTTCTCTGCGAACTCCTCTGATATAAGGGGCATAGCGGGGAACTGGGAGAGGTTATGTGGAACACTAGATATTCGTCTTAGTTCAAATCATTCTGGCAGTCTGCACCTAAATATTTGATCAGGTATTTTAATTCTTAGATAAAGCAGAACTGTAACTGGGTAAGTAAATCAAATTAACAAATTTTCGTCATTTTTAAGACCAATTATTATAGTCCACATAACTGTTAACACATAAACTAGCGGCAATTTATGTTTCTTTGTATTTCTTATTATTTGCACTGTATCCATTTACTTGAAATCAACACTATCGTTTTTCATGGTACTGACTTTGAGTCCCAAGCTGACCAATGTTTGACATATTTGTAAAAGGAAATTTATCTCTTAAAAACAGCTACCTTAATTCCCAAAAATTTGGGCGACAAAAAATTTGAGCGGGCCTCTCGCCCAAATTTTTTGCAGACCAAATTAATTGCATAAATCTTTTCCGTCTGCTAAATTTGTTGCTAACCAAACTTTTGGCATTTGGCCTGTGGCCCTGAAATCTATAGAAAGATGGCTTTTTCTTCATATCTAAGTGAAATAATATTTGAAATTTTAGTTTTCTAATCTGTCATTCATGGCTTGACCAAGTAAAAAGGCTTATATTTTAAATGAATAGAAATAACTGGAATAGCTAACAGCTACTAATAAAACAAATGGCTAGAGGTATGGATAGCTAGAGATTTAAACAAGATCTGCAAATGGATTATCATCCACCGTAAAGTCTGATCTACAAGCATCAGTTATACTCGACTTCTCAAAGCCTTTCCTTATGTCATCTGGCCTCCCTTTTAAATATACAAAAAAGTTCGTTGATCCAACGAGAGTGTACTTCACGGATCACTGTCAAGCGGGTATCAATTTTCACATTGTCTGATGAAACTCCTCCATTGAGCTGACACACCTACATGTTTAAAATTGAAAGCAAAATGACAGGAATAATAACATAAGGAATAATAATGAACTGAGGCAAATATCTAACTGAAATTTTAGTGGAAAATCGTTCATTTTTCGAAGAATTTGTGCCCAAATTTTCGGTCGCCCAAATGAGTTCAAATTTTCTGCCCAAATTTTTCGGGCTCAAATAAATTGTGCTCAATATAATGGCACACAAATTTTTGGGAACTAAGGTATAATCCTAACGATAGTTGTAATATTTCACTGAGATAATAAAAAGAATTTTTACAACTTTTAAATCAAAACTCAACCAAACATACAGTAAACAGAAGATATACAATACAGTACTTCAATGATTAAGACATCCAAGTTTTACAATTAGAACAAATAAATAGAGGTAAAAATTCCAATAGGATATATTATCTAGACTTCAATTCTTTCTAAACTAGAATGATTATATAATAAGTAGATCATAGATAAATAAAAAGACGGATATTAGATGTCTATTAAAGGAATCATTGGTAGAATGTTCTCCTCAAAAAATTTCAAATCATTTCTCAAATGTTCAAAATTATCAAAATTTCCAATCAGTACAATATTACAAAACTATAGCAAGATTTGTACATAAATATTATAACGACTGCTGTCAAGTATTGATACCGATAAACTATCAAATCATATTTGATCATTTTTTCTCCTAATCATCGCAAAAATCATATTCCAAATCGCCATCAGCACGAGCAGCTGCAGCAACCTCTTCAAAGTTTGGGATCAAATTGTTAATATCATACCTAGTGTTACCAGTAAGAAACTCAACAGTTTTTAGAGCAACTTTCTTACATGAGCTGAACATGAAAGCATGCAAGACTTCCTCATCAGCGATGTGAAAGTTGACCTGAAATATCTTTTCATAATTTGATGAACTGTATTTGAAAACATGTTCATAATATCTAAACATTTTATTATAAGAATACCAAATAATCGTAGATTGCTTAAAACATTAAACCCAACTACATGTCAAAACCGAAACCGAAAAAACTACAAAGTATGATGTACTTACAGCAGGCACAGCCTTTCTAAGCTTTCTGAGACAATCCAAAGGAGCCCACAAATCGTGCATACCATAATAAAACACAAGCTTATCTTTGAATTTCTTTATCAGTTTAAAATCAGGATCCTTTATCACTGCCATTTCGTTTGTAGCTAGTCCAAATACATTGTTCAAAGACTTAGGAGTTATTAGTTCAGCAATAGTCGCAGACATGTGGTCCTGAAAGAAATATTTTAGCAACGTTTTTAATTTGTTTGATTTGTTGTTCTTCGACCAATGAAATTATGTCACCCTATGAATCTGGAAAATTTTGTACTTATGTCAAAATTTCACCTGGATGTTCTTAGAAAACTTTGCTGAATAAAACTGGATCATTTTGTTTTTCAGTTGGCCCGGCAGAAGCTCAGTAAGCCAAGCAACAGCGGTGATTTGAGATTGCCATCTCAGCAACATTCGTAGATTTGCTGCTTTGGGCATCTGACCCATATTATCAAACGTTGGAAACAAAAGTATCGATTTTTCCAATTTAATACCTGAAGTAACATTACAAGATTCCAGTTTACATCGAGTCTTTATTTTTCCCTAGACATTCTAGGGAAAATTCTAGAAAAGCTATGATATGTCAACATTAGTATTTTCTGTACTAAGAAAAAAGAACACGTTTTATCAATATAATAAAATAGGCAATATTCTGAAAAATGAAAATCATACCTTTTTCAAAGAGTTTAAGAGCTATGTAAGCACCAAAAGAGTGACCAATCAGATGGATCTTTGTGCCCGGCTCCAGTTTTGCGGTGATAAATTGTAATTTACTCTCTATCTGAAAATGTAAAGGTAAACAAATACAAATGATATACTCAACAAGGTGAGGAAAGAACTTGTTCAGTTCAATTCATTTATTTTTCGCCATTATTATGATTCATCTGTTGTAAACAAATTGAATAATCAGGTTAATATTACAAAGAACCCACCTGATCCCTGACATTAAATATGTTATCCGAGGCAGGACTGTGTCCAACATGAGACACTACACATGCCCTAAACTGTTCATCACTATGTAGAATTACTAAATCCATATACTCCTGATAATACCCGGCTTGTCCAGGATTACCAGGTATTATCAACAGCACAGCTAGTTCATCATCCCTCCAGTTACTACTGTACAGAACATTAACATAATTCTTGTTTATGTATTCTCGTTTATAACCCAATCTGTTCAGGCTCTTCTGTTGGAACAGGACGAAGATGAAGACAAAAGTGATGAATAAAATAGTAAGGAGTACAGCATTGCAGATGTAGGCCATAGTGTCTTCATTGCCAGACAATAAATTGTCGATGAAGTCAAACATTTTCTGACCTATGAAAAAAATAGAAATCAATAGTAAAATGTTATCCAAATTGTTTTATACAGTAGCATTTTAAATTATTAATAAATACAAGAATAAAACATGCAACATTTGGAAAATTATCAATTAAACCTCTTGCTGTCGTACCAGCCCTAAAAATAGTAACTTCAACCATGTCCCAGAAAACATCTGCTGTGCAGGCAAGTAACACGTGCAGTAGTTTCTTTTTGTGGGCGACAAATATCTGACTGCAGAAAAGAGGGAACAAATTTTAAAATGTTGACTGGAATTAATTAGGAAAGCATTAACATGGGCTTTCGGGCAAAGATACCTATAGGCCACAAGCAGTGGCATGACGTTGCATTTAGATGCCTTGCATTCAAATAATTTAAGGGAGTTCTCTTCTACAATTGAGTAGAGGAACCATCTTTGGCCATGCTATTAACTGCAGTCCGGCTAACGTGGTCCTACGTTACGCCACTGACCACAAGCTGTTGGTAGATCTGCATATGTACTGGTCAATAAGTCATTGAAACAAAAAAGGTAATACGATTGATTAAGAAAGAAAAAAATTTTTAAGAAAGAAAAAAATTTTATTTACCACATAACAATTAACAATCAATACATTTAATGTTATATTCACAAATAAATTCAAATTTCAATTTCAACCACATATTCAGTACGCAGCGCACACAGCCACAATTGTTGAGCAATTCTTAGGTGCAGCCGTAAGCGCCGCGCACAGGATCTATTTAATTGTTATTTTACAGTTACATGTCACATTTATTAATTACTAGAGCCAAAATTTCAGAAGCAAAATAATTCAAAAGATATTAATTTTGTCGCGCGTGAGCACTGCGATCTAATTAATATAATTAATATAATAAAGGAGAGCAGATTCCAAAAACCGCGAGCTCTTTATTTGTGAACAGCAGTACCGCTCAGGCAGTACGCAGTTCTGCGTCATGCGTAGACATTTGTAGCACAGGTTTCATTCAACTACTCAATTATAATGTGACATGTAATTGTATTAAAGCAAAATGTATATTAATTTTAGTAATAATTGACGTAAACATGTGCTTGAAAGCTGGATGGTGCCAGGCGGTTCTAATGACCAATTAAAACATATAAAATAATAGTGAATAATAATCCCTCTATTCAGGGCACTGCACACTAAATGGTTCATGTTTAGTATGAAATCACCCCAACACTTCAATTAAATAGCCTAAAATGAAATCAAACCAAAATATTGCGAAAACTATGAAGTTTCGTGTGCTCATATGGAGCGAAAACAAGAAAAGCTAGTGCAAGGTGGTATGCATAAACATTTACCATCTTTAAAAACCGCACCACAGCCACAACACACATCATCACTCGATTGGCTTGTCTATTGAGTGAATTGTACCCGATCGTATGAAATGCAGTTTATCCGGTTCCATTTCTCTTTTCTTCACCAGTTCATGAACATGATAGCCTGAGGTCCCCAGGTAAGTTTCACAAGTAATATAATATTATATATATATACTATATTGCAAGCGAAAGGGCTTTGGTTAGAGCAAGGTGCAAATTTGTCACACGTGCGCGGCTCCCCCTGTATCGTAGAAACTCTATAGTGAAGCGACAGTGGGGGTCACCACGTGATACAAGTGCAAATAAGGTGGCTGCATTTTGTTACTCTAAACCTCAAGAGAAGAGAGGTGCAGAGAATCAGTGACTCCCCCGGCTGTGGAGTGAACAGTAGCTAATATAAAGAGGTATTGACCGTTTGCCTCTGACCTTGTTTCTATGACCCAGGTAAACTGGACCACGCTCTGGTAACAAGATCGGCCCCCCATGCCTGGGGTAAAGAGGTAGTCAGGGGGAAGGTTAGCTCCCGTAAAAGTGGAGCCTTGGCTCACACTCTAATCTCCCTAAGCTTTGGGACAAAAGCGTATAGTCATTTATTGGAATTGGTGAAGAAAGAAGAAATAATACAACGACAGGACATCATCACAAATTAGTAGCAACAAGTGTTCTAGCGGAAGTTGTTACTCACGTGGCCAAGATGGATAAGTCATTTAACGCTCAAGTGGCGTCCGGCCACTTGATGTGCAGGGGACTGCGCATGAGACACCAGCCATTGAAAAGTTTGATGATGTCTTATAATAACACTAGGGTTAAAGTCCCTACCACTGATTCAAATGTCGGAGGGGACCGGATTGATGACTCTCTCACCCTAAAACTCCCTAGGAGAGGGGTGACAGATGATATGCCGGCTCCTTCACCCGGCACAAAAAATAACATAAAACAACAAAAAAGGATGGGGATGCATTGGTTTCTTGTAGTGAGGTAGCTCTAGTAGGGACATTTAATGTCCGAACTGCTAGAGAAGGTTACAAGCGCCTTGAACTCGTGACTAAGTTTCTGGAGAGTGGCATGGAGATCCTTGGGATCCAAGAACATAGGATTGTCCACCAGGAGCCGATCAAGATCGAAAAGTTCAAGGAGGGGGTTAGCTTCGTAACTGTATCAGCACGGAGGAATGGAGCAGGAGCAGCCACTGGTGGAGTGGGCTTTCTGCTAACTAGAAGAGCATACAGCGCAATCAGCCTCATTAAACCCTATGGCTCAAGGGTGCTGACTATCTCTTTCAACGGAAATCCCAGACTCACAACTATAACTGCCTATAGTCCTACCAAGGCAGCACTAGTTGAAGAAGCGGAGGATTTCCATAACACCCTTAGACAGGCTATGAATGATGTGCCAGCGCACCACCTGCTGATCACAGAGGGAGATATGAACGCCCGGCTTGGAAAGGAGAGTGAAGAAGATTCCCGTTGGTACTTTCTTACTCGTACCAATCGGAATGGAGAGCTACTGAGAGACACTGCCCTGGAGTGCGATATGGAAATTACCAATATCCGCTTCAGAAAGAAGGTCAACAAGAGGTGGACCTTCTTATCCGATGGGACACTTAACAAAGGTCAGATTGACTATATCCTCATACGGCGGAAGTGGAAAAACTCATTAAAGAACACTGAAGTTTACAACACTTTTCAGTCGTTGGGATCTGATCACAGAGTTGTAGTGTGTAAGATCAAAGTTAGCTTTAGGAAAGGACACAGGCCTCCGAAAAAAGTTAACTATGATTATAGTGCCCTGAAGTCGGATGGTGAGCTTCAAAAAAAGTATGCAATTGAAGTTCGGAATGTTTAATGCTCTGATGTATGCAATGAAATCACAATGGTTGTTATCAATCTATCTGAAAACGTATATAATTTGTAATGCAATACATTATAGAATAAATGCAATTAGAAATATCAATAACAGTTCCTATCTTACTAGAAAGATTAACTGAAAACTATACTAGGAAAAGCTAAGCACAGTTACAAAGTGTAACACTCTACTCACCACAGTAGAGTTCAGGGTGATCTTGCTAAAGGGGAAAGATTGGTTAGAACAATCTCCACCCTATCTAAGTCTAAAATATAAAAGTTAAAACCCCAGAGGTATGGAACTACTAACTGTGATAGATAAATCAATTCAAAAGTCTAAAACAACAACAACATCGATTCAAAAGTATAAAAGGCTTGTTAAAAAAAAACAACTTAGAAGAATAAGCTAAATATTGAATAAATTAATAATTTAACAATGTCCATTAAAATGTTATAAAATTTTGTTCATTACAATGTTAAAAGGCATTCTGAAGTATGGTGAGTTCTCAAGTCTCAAGAGCCTACTCCGTTGGGTCCAGGTCAGTTTGTAGTAAACTGCAAACCTTTAATATCTGTAGCCTAATTTCTCAATCCTCAGTCCTTACAAAGGATGCTTTCATCCTTAATCCTATACTTCTCTCTAAACAGACTGCCCAGACAAAAATATAGAGAAACACTCAAGATAGGTAGAACTTAACACATTCAGAAATACCAGTCTAGTTGTAGTATGTGCTTGGCACTGTTCTCAGGACAAAAAATTCTTCAGACATCATCTCGGCAAACTTGATACTCTCTTCATTTCCATTGGGTTCAGCTATGGGAGGAGGTTCAGGAGGGTCTTTCTCAAGTAGCCAGTCTACTTTGTCTAAATTGACCCCGGAAAAACTTCCGTCTTCTGAAATGACATTCCAGTAGTTCTTGTTCATGCTGTTGACAGTGTATCCTCTAGACTTAAGCTGAACTTTGTGCCATGTATCCGAATCAGGTTCTTGGAATACCACTGTGTCTCCTTCAATTACTGCAGTTATCAAGCCTTCATTTTTCTTCATAGGTTTCCTTGCCTTTGGAGGTTTCTTTGTTTGTTCCACTTCTTCAGTAGTTCTCTCAATAGTTGTTTCTGGAGTGTCTTTAACTTCAACTATTGTAGGCTCTGCAGTTCCACCAGGTAGGTTGTTTGTTGTTTCCTGTGGTTCTTCTTGATCTGTCGTTCTAGTAATGGTTTGGATCTCAGGTCTTACTTGAGCACTTATCTCTTCAGGATCAAGATTTGGAATGTTGAAGTCTCTTAGAGTAGAATTATGATCAGAGTTTGTTTCTTGAGCTCTGGCTTGAGATCTCTCTTTACTATTCATCTGCTTATCTGCTTCTTGTTTTGGAACCATCACGTTTTCTTCCTGGATTGGGATCGCATAGTGACCTGATTTAGTCAACTCTAGCTTGTAATCTTCTCCACGGATGGTAATGGTGTCTGTCTCGAAATTAAGTTGTACTCCCATGCACTTCATTGACTTCAAAGATAATAGAAGAGGTATGTCACTGTTAACGATGTGTACTTCAAGCCGAATTTTGTGGGTACAAATTGTGACTGGGATGATCACTTTCTTAGAAGATTCTAGGGTTCCTACTCCAAATCTAAAGATGATTTCTGCTGGGAATTCTTTAACAGTGCTTCTTGTCTCGTCATCTAGAGAATCTAGAAAGCATGAATACCAGTTTTCCCCGGCTACTGTTCTACTTGCTCCTGAGTCTAACAATGCTTTATTGACAGTTTCTCCGGCTAGAAAAGCAGCTTTTTCTTCTTGACGGACGTTCC